TTTATTTATTTTTAGAGAAAGGGGAAGGGAGGAGAAAGGAGAGGGAAGAGAAACATCAACGTGTGGTTGCCTACTGGAGACCTGACCCACAACCCAAACATGTGCCCTGACTGGGAATTGAACCCATGACCCTTTGGTTCGCAGGCCAGTGCTCAGTCCACTGAGCCACACCAGCCAGGGCTCAAGATATCTTTTCATTTCTGCATTAATCTTGTTATTAACCATTTCATTGTTTAGTAACAAATCATCTTGCCTCCATGTCTTTGTGTGTGTTTCTGGGTTTTTTTCTTGTGATTGATTTCTGGTTTCATACCATTATGGTCTGAGAAGATGCCTGATATGATTTGAGTTTTCTTAAATTTATTGAGACATGTTTTCTGTCATAACATGTGGTCTGTCCTTGAAAATGTTCCATGTGCAATTGAAAAGAATGTATATTCTCCTTTGTGGTGAAATGCTCTGAAGATATCAATTAAATCTGTCACGTCTATTGTGTCATTTGAGGCCACTGTTTCCTTGGTAATGGGTGTTAAAATCCCCTATTATGACTATTACTGTCTGTCTCTCCCTTTATGTCCATCAAGATTTGCTTTGTATGTTTAGATGCTCCTAAGTTGGGTGCATAAATGTTTACAAGTGTTATATCCTCTTGTTGTATTGATCTCTTTATTGTTATGTAGTGTCCTTGTCTCTTATTATAACCTTTGTTTTAAAGTCTATTTTGTCAGATACAAGTATTGCTACCTCAGGTTTTATTTCCTTTCCATTTGCCTGAAATACCTTCTTCCATCCCTTTATTTTTAGTCTGTGTGTATCTTTGGTTCTGAGGTGGGTCTGTTATAGACAGCATATATATGGGTCTTGTTTTTTTTAGCCATCAGTTACCCTGTGTCTTTCCACTGGAGCATTTAGGTCATTTACATTTAAAGTGATTATTGATAGGTATGTATTTATTGTCATTTTATTCTATTTTGTAAATATTTTATTTTTTTAAGAGGGGAATGAAGGGAGAGAGGGAGAGAAACATCGATGTCCTTCCTCCACTTTCCTTCCTCCCGCCTCCCTCCTTCCTTTCTCCCTCTTCCTTCTCCTAATACTAATTTGGTGGTAATGAACCCTTTTAGCTTTTTCTTGTCTGGGAAACTATTTCTCCCTCAGTTTTAAATGATAGCCTTACTGGGTAAAGTAGTCTTGGTTGTAGGTCCTTGCTCTTCATCATTTTGAGTATTTCATGCCAATCCCTCTGGCCTGAAAAGTTTCTGTTGAGGAATCAGTTGACAGTCTTATAGGAGCTCCCTTGTTGGTAACTGACTTTCTCTTGCTGCTTTTAAGATTCTCTGTTTGTCTTTAACCTTTGCTCTTTTAATTATGATGTGTCTCGGTGTGGGCCTCTTTTGGTTCCTCTTGTTTGGGACTCTTTGTGCTCCCTGGACTTGTGTGTCTTTTTCCTTAAACAGGTTAGAAAAGTTTTTAGTCATTAATTTTTCAAGTAGGTTCTTGATCCCTCTCTTGTCTTTTTCTGTACCCCATCATGCAGATGTCATTACACTTCATGTTGTCCCAAAAGTCCCTTAAACTATCCTCATTTTTAAAAATTAATTTTCCTTTATGCTGCTTTAATTGGGTGTTTTCTGCTACCTTGTCTTCCAAATAGCTGATTCAGTGCTTCATCTAACCTAAGTTTATTCCTTCTGGTGCATTCTTCATTTCAAATATTGTATTTTTTGCTTCTCATTGGTTCTTTATTATGGTTTCTATGTCCTTTTTCATGGTGCTCTCACTAAGTTCTTTGTAATTTGCATTAACTCCCTTATGTATCCTTATAACTGTTTTTTAAAAACTTTATATCTGGTAAATTGCTTACATCTATTTTATTTAACTCTTATTCTGGAAATGTCTTCTGTTCCCCCCCACCATTTACTGATTTTAGAGAGAGAGAAAAATATTGATGTGTTGTTCCACTTATTTATGGATTCATTGGGTGATTCTTTTATGTGTCCTGACTGGGAAGCAAACCCACAACCCTCGCATAGCGGGACTATGTTCTAACCCAACTGAGCCATCCTGTTCTTTCATTTGGATCATGTTTCTTTGTCTCCCCATTTGGGCTGCCTCTTTGTTTTTGTTTTTTCATGTTAGGTAGATCTGCTGTGTCTCCCAGTCTTGGTATGATGGCATTATAATAGGTATCCTGTGGGATCCAGTGGCACAGTCTCCTTGATCACCTGAACTGGGTTCTCCAGAAATGCCTCTTGTGTGGGTGATGTGAACCCTCCTCTTGTAATGAGTCTTGATTGGTATTGGCCTGTTTGTGCGTGGGTTCAATGCTCAGCTCATTGACTGTGAGGCTTGACCACAACCACAGTGTATGAGCTGCTCTTTGGGTACTGATGACACTAAGTGGGATTCGTTTTAGCAGGATCTGTTGCCTGCCAAGATATGCCTTTGGATATGTTGCTTGTAAAGCTTATTGGATCCTGCTCTGATGTTATCTGAAGCTGGCCACCAGGTGTGCTGGTTCTGGGGCCTCTTTGGAGGGACCCTGGTGAAGATCAATGACAGACACTGCCTGTGACTGGCCCTGGACAGCCTGCTAGGAGCTACAAAATGATCCACATTTTGTGGCTGCCTCTGCTGGGCTTGGCTGTGCATGGGAAGGACCAAGCTGACAAGGCTGGCTTCCACCAGCACAGAGTCCAGGGACAGAGCAGCAAAAGGCCTATGGTACCCCAAAATTTGCCTGGTGTGGGGTTGAGGCCCCTTGCTCTTCAGTGGGAACCTGCCAGCTGCCTGTTAGATTCAGTAACTGAAAGAGCCTCTAGCAGTACTCAGGTTGCATGAGGATTTCTCTTTGAGTCACCAAGTATGGGCGAAAGGTGTTTACCAGATTGGTACAGTTTCAATCTCACTGACAGTGCTAGATGTGAGGTCACTCAGCAAAAGTCCCAGTGCATACCAATTCTAGCTACCACCTGCTAGATGCTGCAGACCTTTGTGGTGGTGAAGGGTCTCAGGAAATCGTCAGGGTAAGGCCAACAGAGTTTATCAGGCCCAAACAGACCAAGATTTGGCCATGTGAAGGGAGAGCTTTGCACTTGTTGGCATGTGAGGGAAAAATGGTCTCTATCCTAGAGCCATACAATCCAATCTGTCCCAGATTCTGTCAGGAGCCCAAGCTCAGCATGGCTGGGCTGCCAGGAGTTGGGAGGGTGGGGCTAGTGAGTCTCCTGTGGTGGGGAGCGACCGTCAGGTTTGGGAGGAAGGAGAAGTGGCCCCTACTCCAGAGCTACACAACTCAGTAACTGGTACCCCCTGAGTGTGCCTGGACCTCTATACCCCTGCTCAGGCAGCTGACTCCTCAGAAGGGTGTGAGTTTCACCGGGTGGGGCTACAGGGATTGCAGAGGCTGGGGCTATTGCATTCCCCCAAGCTGATGCATAAGGTGAGGAGTGCTCCACCCAAGACAGATGGTGTCTGTGGTATGGGTGTGGTATCCCACTCAGGACAGGGATCCTGGTGGCTCTCCCTTCAGCTCTCTCCCCAGAGCCACAACCCCAGTCTCTTCTTGCACAACTCTAGTCCACTTTGCTGGAGTCCAGGGTGATTGGCTGCAAATGAGGTTTTGTGTGTGGGCCCTTTAAAGAGGGGTCTCTATCTTCAGACTCCCGTCTCTCCCTGGCAGACAGAATCCTTGCTGGTTTTTACAGCCAGATATTATATGGGCACCTCTTCCAAGCTCTGGTGCTCTGGGATGCAGAGCCTGGTGTAGGGTTGAGACCCCATGCTCTTCAATGTGAACCTTTACAGCCGAGCTACCCCTTCATAATCTCTGCCCTCCTATCAGTCTCAATATCACTTTCTCTGTAAATCCTCAGTTATAAGACTTCTGTTCAGCTAATATTAAATTGGTTATTTGGGTTGATTTTTCTATATTTTAGTTGTAATTCCAGTTTGGTCCTGGGAGGCAGTGAGCATAGCTTCTACTTACTCTGCCACCGTCTTGGTTCAACACCGTGTTTCCCTTTTAAGTGACACATTTTTCTCTTTCTGTTTTCAACGTTTCCTCCTTCTCTTCAACTTTCACCATTTTCACTGTGATGTATCTATTTGTGGATTACTTTGCAATTTTAATCTTGGGAGATCACTGGGTGTCTGGTAGTGGAGGTTGGTGTTTATCACAAGGAGTTGATGGTCCTGTGTAAAGGATCTCTAGGACCACCCTCAGTTATGAAGATTTCACTACAGTAGCTCACAGAAGGACTTATTTCAGAAAGGTGGTTATATACAGTGTTGCAGCTTATTACATAGAAAGGACACATTAAAATTAGTGATAGAAAAAGGTACACAGGGTGAAAACCAATAAAAACTAGGCTGAAATTTCAGTAGTCCCCTTTCAGCGGATATGCATGCACAGAGCTTAATGTGTAACCACATGTTTGAAATATTACTAATTAGGGGACCTCACCCAAGCCTTGGAGTCTGGGGTTTTTACTGACGGTTGGTCACATAAACATGGATACTGTGTGACTGACCTTCACCATTCAGTGCTCAGCTCTTCCAAAAGCCTATGACACAGTGTGTCCCAGGTGGACAGTACAGACATTGACGATAAGTCACATTATCAGCATAAATTCTGCCATGGCCCAAGGCCCCAGCCATACACAGACACTCTTATTGGCAGCTGATTCCAAGGGACTGTACACTTTCTCTCAGGAGCCAATCAAGGATTAGTCCTAAACAATGGTCAGTGTTTGGACAACCTGGGCTTGCTGAGTTAGGCTTTTTCTGCATATTTTCAAATGAAAGCATTTATTTCGTTTGTATACATCTCTCTGGACTCTGCAATAGATAGAGTAAGACAAGAGTAGTCACAATAAACTGTAGAGTCAAGTTCATAGTGATAGTGGTGCTGTTTACTAGGAAATGAGTGTGAACCGTCAGGGGAGTTCCCCAGTGCTTTCAGACTCACCCATCCTCCTGCACGCATTCTGGTGTTTCAGGACTCAGTGGTCTTTGCAGATGTGGCTGTCGACTTTACCGTGGAGGAGTGGGCTTTGCTGGACTCTGCTCAGAAGAACCTCTACAGGGATGTGATGCTGGAAAACTTCCAGAACCTGGCCTCAGTGGGTAAGGATGGCATCATCATTTCACTGAGTCATTTAGTGAAGAAGTGTTTATCAGTGCTGTTCTAAGACCTGACATGCAGGAAAGGAGTTATTGGTAAATGAGACTGAGATGGTCACAGCCACCATGGACCTAAAATCTAATGATGTTTCCATGACAGTGGAAATCTGGGTATTAAACTGAGACTTTGTCTTGTTTTTGTTTTCACTTAAAAGTATTTTATTTGAATTCTCGTAACTTCAAAGTTTTCACATGGACTTTTTAAAATAACCAATTAACTATTAGATGATTTAGTTTTGAGTTTCTGAGAAGTAGGACATTAACTCAAGCATTGATGTGTGATTGCAAAGCAATAGAAATCTGTCCTTCAGATGTGAAGATGTTGCTGTTGGTGTTATTATCAGTGATCAGTGAAGCTTAAATAAACAGAATTACAATTTTACAGGCTGAGTAGATTTTAGTAGACCAAATAAAATTTTGATCTAAATTCAAGGTTGTCCATAAAACATCCATATCAAATGCATAAGAATGTCTTTGGGCCCTGGCTGGTGTGGCTCAGTGGACTGAGCGCCGGCCTGTGAAACAAAGAGTCGGCAGTTCAATTTCCCAGTCAGAGCACATGCCTAGGTTGCAGGCCAGGTTCCCAGTAGGGGGCACATGAGAGGGAACCACACGCTCGTGTTTCTCTCCCTCTCTTTCTCACTCCCTTCCTTTCTCTCTAAAAATAAGTAAATACTTTTAAAATAAAATAAAAAAAAAAGAATGTCTTTGGAAGAAAAAAGTAATAACCACAGATTTTATGTGTGTGTGTGTGTGTGTTTTTAAATCCTTAAAACTTCAAATGTTTTCTGTTTGTATTTTACTGCATTACTGTTTGTCTTGGTTTAAAAGATTTGGAGGTTCTTTGGTGTCATTAGTGTGGGGTATAGTCTTTATGGGTCATTTTGGTTCACAGAGAATTTTCTTGTTTGAAGCTTTTTGATGGTCGTTAGGGAATTAACCATCATTTTGACTTAATGTGCCTGTCACTGGTAAAGTCTTACAAGTGCTAAACTCCTCAAAGTCTGTCTTTGCTCACGAATGCCTTCCTCATTCCTTAATATATTTACTTTTGTTTCAGATAATGAGACACTGTTTACAGCCAGTGGGCCCATTACTCAGCAGGATATCTATGAGGAAAAAATACCTAACAAAGAGAAAATAGCAAAATTCACAAGAAATAATTCTTGTATCTACATTTTAGCAAAAAATGGGGATGACCAGAGCATTGAAGATGAGCAACAAAACCATGGGAGACCACTGAGGTGAGGTGCCTTCACAAGAGAAGGTGGTAGAATCCCAGAAGAGATTCTTAGTATGTCATAAAGTTGTAAAACATAAAAATTATAATCCTAGCTCTATATTTGTTTATTCACATGTATTTAACAAAAAAAAATTTTTTTATTTAAAGTAGACATTGAGTGTTTGAAACAATTCAGTTCAAAACAATTATAGGAAAATCACACATACAGCAAATAGCATATGAATAGAGAATTTTTCTGAACTCTCTTCCAGAGTGTTTAGTTTATTAAGCTTCCAGACAATTTAGAAAGGGTAGGACAATTTCTCGTATATTGAAATACTGAAATGGAGTTAGAAATGTAGTTATATACTTACTGATTGTTAATAAAAAATCATTAATAAACATACTGTTAATAAAGTGGTTCTCATTTTTAACAGGAATCATATGGAGGACAGGTTCTGTGAACGTAGTGATGGAAATCAACATGAAGAAACCTTCATTCACATTCCCAATCTTAATCTGCATAAACCCATTTCTATGGGAATAAAACCATATGAATGCACCAAGTGTGGAAAAGGCTTCACACATCTTTCTTCCCTTAAGAAACATGTTAAAGCTCACCGTGGACATAAACCATCTCAGTGTCAGGAATGCAAACAGGGCTACATTTGTGCCTCACACCTAGGAACTCACTCTGGGGAGAAACCCTATGGATGTAAATTATGTGGGAGAACCTTTCCTTACTTCTACTGCCTCACTCAACACATCAGGATGCACACTACAGAGAAAAATTATGAATGCCAGCAGTGTGCAAAATCCTTCAATGAACTCTCCAGTCTTTCTAGACATGTGAGAACTCACACAGGAAAGAAGCTGTATAAATGTCAGGAATGTGGGAAAGCCTTCATTTATCCCTCAGAACTTCAAAGGCATATGATAACACACACTGGGGTGAAGCCCTATGAATGTAAAGCATGTGGGAAAACTTTTCGTCATTCCTATTCCCTGACCCGACATGTAAAAATTCACACTGCAGAGAAAACCTATGAATGTAAGAAATGCGGGAAAGCATTCAGTTGGCCTGAAACCTTTCAAGCCCACGTGAGGACACATACTGGAGAGAAACTCTATACCTGTGAAAGCTGTGGGAAAGCTTTCAGTTCTCCCAAGTCCTTCCAAGGACATGTGAGAACTCACACTGGAGAGAAACCTTACAAGTGTAAACAGTGTGGAAGAGCCTTTACTTGGTCCTCAAACTTTCAAGAACATGTGAGAATTCATACTGAAGAGAAGCTGTATAAATGTGAAAAATGCGGGAAAGCTTTCAATTCTTCCAGATCCTTTCAAGGTCACATGAGAACCCACACAGGAGAGAAGCCTTATGAGTGTACACAATGTGGGAAAGCCTTCAGTTGGTCCTCATCCTTACAAAAACATGGGAGAATGCACACTGGAGAGAAACCCCACAAATGTAAACAGTGTGGAAAAGCCTTCAAGTGGCCCTCATCATTTAGAAACCATGTAAAAATGCACACTGGATAGCAACACCTTGAATGCACGTATTCCTCAAAAGCTTTTGGTTAAGACATTCTTTCTAGACAGGAATCTTGTAACTTTAAATAATGTTGGAAAACATCTACTTATTATATAATGCTCCAGGAAATTCATACCAGGAAAGAAATGTTATAGAAGTTATAAATATGGTATTATGTTTGTCAATATCTCATTTTTTAAGTGGGTCATTAAGTGATAAATTTCCAGTTCCTTCAGAAATAAATGTTTATGTAAGAAATAATTCTCAATTCTTTCAGCTATAATGTATAAGTTTGATTTGTGTTTTTTCAGTTAGTACCTATTTTCTGTTTTCATTTTGAAGTTTATTGGACCCATAGTGATTTGAAATAAGCTTTCAATATGACAGTAATTTAACTTTTATGTAGTATTGTAGTGGAAGTGCCTTACATTAAACTTTTCTGATTGTATTATAAGTGCTTGACAGTAAGTTTTTGATTGACAGGGCATCCATCTCAAAGACATCCATCTCAAGCGTATAGCCAACTGTATGACTCAGCTACTACTAAAACAACTACATATATAATTAGGCTGCCTTGACCCATGAAATTTTCTTTTCAAAAAGTCCTGGGTGAACTAGATAAGTGACCACTTAACCATGCTTTTCTCTCCCCTTAAACTAATTTCTGCTCTTATGTTTTAACTTTGTCAATAAAGAGTAAAGTTTTAACTTTGTCAATAAAGAGTAAACCTTTGAAATCCCAGGCACCTCACCCTTGACCCCAATAAAAGGCAGAGCCTGAGGTCTGCACTCTCTCTCCCCCAACATCCTCACTGGTCCTCGGCCATGCTGTGTTCTCTCCAGAACTTGCAAGAAATCTTATTCTAAGTTCCCTGATGGTTTTTTGCTGAAGTGCATGTTACAATCATAAGAACACAAGAGCTGGATTAACGACAGAAAATGTCTGGGGTGGGGACTGTCACAATAGTATTTTAGGCATTCCTAGCTGAAAGCATCTCTTTCAGTAGGCTGAGATCAACAACAGTTTTATAGTTTTTCTGTAAGTACAGTATCATGAAAGCAACCACCCACCTTCCCTCACCTCTTTCCTGTTACATATTCCTAAAGACACACTGATCTTTTATGGGCCACTTACTATATAAATCATCAGGAGAAAGGGGGTGAGAGGTTACAAAAAGCCATTCAGAAAGTTTTTTGAAATTTAGGATTTCTTCCTGAACAATTTTTAAATACGTTTTGTTCCTCTGAGTAAGTTGGATCAAAATAGTTTTCTGTGAAATAGGTTTTTTCCTCTTCCATACACTCCTTTCAGGGGAAAGTGTGGATGAAAGTTACGAATGATGTTTTAAATGTAATGTTATGATTTTTAAACAGGACACCCAAGTCTGGCATATGAGAGGTGATGGGAAGGCATACGCCACTTTAATCTTGCTTTTCAGAATTCTTGCTGTAAACTTCTCCCTCTACCTAAAGGAACTCCCCTCCCCCTGCCCTGCTGCCTTTCTAAACTACTATGAGTTCTATGAATGCAAACAGACATGCTGAGCCTGTATCACAACAGAATTAGGACAAAAAAACAAATTACACCTAAGCTACCAAAAGGAAATAATAATTAGAGCAGAGATAAAATAGAGAATAGAAAAACAATAAAGTCAAAAGTTGGTTCATTGAAAATTTCAACAAAACTGACAAACCTTTAGCTAGATGGACTAAGAAAAAAAAACACTCAAGTTACTAAAACCAGAATTGAAAGTGGGGATATTATTACTGAATTTACATAAATAAAAAGGATAATGGGACCCTGGCTGGTGTGGCTCAGTGGACTGAGTGCTGGACTATGAACCAAAGGGTCGCTGGTTTGATTCCCAGTCTAAGGCACATTCCTGGGTTGCAGGCCAGGTCCCCAGTAAGAGGTATGAGAGAGGCAACCACACATTGATGTTTCTCTCCCTCTCTTTCTCCCTCCCTTTCCCTCTCTAAAAATAATAAAATCCTTTTAAAAAAAAAAAGGATAATGGAGTAGTGTGAACAACTGCATGCCAATAAATTAGGAAACCTACACAAAACAAACAAATGCCTAGAAACACAAAACCTTCCAAATATTGTATCATGAAATAAACAGTAGATCTATAACTAGTAAGGAGACTGAATCAGTAACAAAAATCTCACAACAAAGAAAAGCCCAAGACCTTACAGTTTAACGGGTGAATTATACCAAACATTTAAAGAAGAACCAATAGTAATCCTCAATCTTTTCTTAAAAATTAAAGACGAAGGAACACTTCCTAGCTCATTGTATGAAGCCAGAATTACCGATAGCAAAGCCAGACAAAAACTACAAGAGAAAAACACAGACCAAATACCAAAATTTGATGCCAAAATCCTAAAACAAACAAACAAAAAAACCCTAGTGAAAAGAATTCTGCAGTTTATTAAAGGAATTATACACCAAGAATAAGGATTTATTCCTGGAGTGCTAGAATGGTTCAACAGGAAATTAGACAATGTGATGTGCCCATGAATAGGATGATGAGGAAAAAACATCTCTTTAGAAAAAAATATTTGCATGGTAATCAGAATTTTAGCAGAGTGAAAAGTCCCTTTTGTATTTCTGAGTCACAAGTCATACAACTACAACAAAGGATCCTCTACTTAACACATACATGTGTGAAGGATCCATGCAGTGAGACATCTAAAGGTAGGGATATCTGAACACACAGGGATATGGGCCAAGAGGAAGGAGAGAGACGGGCTATAGATGCAATCCAGTTCTTGCAGATGCACCCCAGTGCCTGGCATGGCCCCAGCTACCATGGTAGAAGTGGAGGAGTCATACTGCAGCCCTCAAAGAGCAGCTGAGAGGGTGTGAGGGGCAAAAAAAAAAACATTGCCACCTGAGTAGCCATTGCTCATTGTGACTAAACCCAGTGATGAGTGACGATGTGGCACAGTGGTGTGGCAGCTGCAGACTAGTAAAGAGCAAAGCCACATTCACAAACACTTCTACTCACCCTTGACCCACCTATCACTGCTGACCCCCAGAGAGGCAAAACCTGGAAGAAGCAGCAGAGGCACATCTAATGGAACAGGCCGCTGGCAGCCACTGGTAACAAGGAGGCAATTCTGGAAACTTGCAGGTCTGGAGTTCCACTGCTCACCACATCCCGTAACAGGAGTGGAAGGCACCTTGAGAACTAGGTTGCCTGGACACAAAGGGGGACTCCCGCCACTTTGGGGATTACAGGGCACTTTGCAAGACTGAGACAACACTCCCCCACCAAGATCTCAGAGGCATCAGTAGTGCAGGTAAGAGGAAACAAGCCTTGTGCTATAGCACAATCTATTGGAAAATGTAAGAACTATTAATCTGAATTGTTATGAGCAAAATATACTTTAAAAAAGTTCACTACCTCAAATCTGCAGGCAGAGAAGCAACCCACTAAAGTACCACAAATAACCAAGGTAACAAGTTAGCTCAGAAAGAAAATAAAAAGTGTCCAGAAATCAAACCAAAAGACTTGGAAGACTGTGATATAAATGACAGAGAATTTAAGATGGCAGTTCTGAAAAAAAAATGCAGTAATATATAAGAAAACTCAAAAAGGCTGTTCAATGATCTCAGGAGTAAAATCAATGAACAAAAGTAGTGTACCCCAAAGACTGAAACTATGAAAAAAGAAACAAATTCTATGGCTGAAGAACTCAATAACTGAGATGAGGAATGCATTAGGAAGCAGACCAGAGAAAAGACAGAAGTAGTGAGCTTGAGGATAGAAATCTAGAAATGTCTCGGGTAGAGAGAGGACTAAGGGTTCAATCTTCTTAAATTTATTGAGACATGTTTTGCATCTTAATGTGGTCATTCCTAGAAAATATTCCATGTGCACTTGAAAAGTGTATATTCTGCTGTTTTGGGATGAAATGCTCTGAAGATACCAGTTAAATCCCTCTGATCTAGTGTGTCATTTAAAGCCATTGTTTTGTTGTTGATTTTAGGTCTGGATGATCTATCTATTGATGTCAATAGGGGGTTAAAGTGTCCTACCATGACTATTACCATTGATCTCTCCCTTTTTAGCCATCAGTTTGCTTTGTATATTAGGTGCTCCTTTGCTGGGTTCATAAATGTTTGTAAGGATATATCTTCTTGTTGGATTAATTCCTTTATCACTGTGAAATGTCCTTCTTCGTCTCTTATAGTCTTTGTTTTAAAATTCTGTTTTGTCTGAAGTAAGTATTTTTACCCAGATGTTTTTTGTTTCCATTTCCATGGAATATCTTTTTTCTATCTCATTACTTTTAGTCTTTGTGCCTTGTAATCTGAAATGGGGCTCCTGTAGACAGCGTATGTATGATTTGTTTTCTTATTCATTCAGCCACCCTATGTCTTTTTTTGTTGTTGTTGTTCCAGGTACAGTGAACTTACTGATGGTGCATGACAAGATAGGGTTTCCCAAGGCCCTCCTCTTCTTCAAAGAGCTGGGATGAAAACTGGAAGTCAGAGGTTCTTGACATATTTGGGGACCAGTTTTGGGCAAGAACTCCCCAGCAGCTGAAGGCCTCTCTTCCTTTCACTGGGACTGGTGGTCCAGGGACTCTTACTCCTTGAAGGCCAGGTAAACCATAATCCACCACCCTGTTGCCAAGTTCATTGTCATACCAGGAAATCTGCTTGACAAAGTGGTCCTTGGAGGGCAATTCCAGCCTCAGCATCAAAGATGGAGGAGTGGGTGTCTCTGTTAAAAGTCACAGGACACAACCTGATCCTCACTATAGCCCAGGATGCCCTTGAGGGTGTCCTCTGATGCCTTCCTTACTATCATCTTGATGTCATCATATTTGGCAGCTTTCCCTAGGCAGCAGGTTAGATCTACAACCAACACATTGAGGGTGGGGATATGGAAGGCTATGCCAGTGAGTCTCCCATTCAGGTCAGGGATGACCTTGCCCATAGCCTTGGAAATGCCAGTAGAAGCAGGGAAGCTGTTCTGGGCAGCCCCTTGGCTATCATGTCAGTTTCCCAGAGGAGCCATTCATGGTCTTCTGGGTGACAGGGATGGCATGGACTGTGGTCACAAGTCCCTCCACAATGCCAGAATTGTCATGGATGACCTTGGCCAAGGGGGGCCAAGCA